CATGGGCCTGTATTAATGTCTAGCCTATATCGAAACGTACTAATAAAACATTTTTCTTGTACAGTATTCCAATAGGAACTGACATTGTGTCACAGAGAAATCATATTCTCAAGTATTTCTGTAAAGTTTTCTATTATGAATTTGTTCTTTTCTGGTACTTTCCATTCTATGATCTTATTCTACATTAGATACTACACGAGTATTCATGTTGGCCTTGCATGACAACTAACGCTTTGTTACATGAGTATACTGTGTCAGCCTGTACTTACCTCCCAAAGTGCTCAGGCTGTATAAGCAACACGCCAGCAGGAACAGATCCAGGCTTTTCATGATGAGGCCCAAAACCAAACTCTTGTCCTCCCCGAAAATAGATCTTGAATGAGTGAAGAAAACTTCTTCCCTGCTTAGCTTTCTTTACCAGTTCAGCTCACTGGAAGTCTACAGCTAAACTTTGACTTGGTCAGTACTCAGTTTGTACTGTTGTTGTCTGTCAGTCAGGCAGCCATGCCAGCTGCTGTGTACTCCAATTACCTCCAGGAAGGGGTGGGGGCTTTGGGGAAGGGGTTGGGGATACACACATGCATCAAACTGGCAGAAACTCTTGTGAGGTTTTATATGCAAAAAATTTGTATAATTTTTTCTGGTATATTTCCTCTTCCAAAACCCTCCCAAAAAAGTTAGATTGCTGTTTATGTAACTGTAAAGCTAAAAGAGATTCTGAGAATTGTGGGAGGAAAACAGAAAAGCTATGAAATGATAGTTGACAGAATGACAGTTCAGCTGTTTTGGCTTTCTGCTTCAGAAAACCATGAAGCCAGTTCTGTAGCCACATTATAAGATAAAACTCTATAATGCAAAGGAACAAAAAACATACATAAACAAGGTCCAAAATTGCATGGGCCTCAAATAATCTGAAATTTTTTTTGGAAAGGGAACAATCAGGTTATTATCAGTCCAAATGGCATGGATAACGTTTGTACCTGTAACGTTCATATTAAACAATATTTACAGGTTTTAGAGCAACATCCAGTCCAAAGGTGACACAATGAAACACAATGTCAAACCGCATTCTGCATGTCTTATTATATAAAGATGAAATAGGTGCTAAACTAAGCTGCCTGCTGACCAGACCTGTCACCTAACAAAAACATGTAGTGCTTTATGAAATTAAAAGATTAGACCCAAAACTGTTGAGATGCAAAAATCCTGGAGTATATCAGACATTAATTGGAAAACATTTGGATTTGAAAGCTGTTTCAGTAAGTGCTCTCCTCAGCTCCAAAACTCTTGAATGCAAAAACACGCTGGCAGCTGCCATCTTAATAAGAATAAAATGGGATTTCAATTTCAGTACAATCTAAAACCACTTCTTGTTCTCAAGAGTTTTCACTATCAGCTCATTTGATCTATTTAATGACTTTCTCTTTTCTTTTTCTAATCTCATGACCCTTTGACCTAAAATCCTATTTTTGTAATATGTCACTGAGACATTACCTCCAGCTGAGTCTTCTTCTCCAGCTTCCTCTTGCCTACACCCACATGCTGCGATCACTTCATATTTAACCTTTAATTGCTTAACCTCTTTGTCCATCTGAGGGGTTAAATGATCCTATTTAAACTGTATTTCAACTTTTTGTGCATTCAGTTCTGATGTATGTTTTGGTTCTACAGGACACACGCAGCACCAACAGACCAGACATTAGCAGCTGTTATTCTCTCAGTATAAAGTCAAGTTGATGAAACATCCAGACACTGCTGTATTTTCTGATTTGCCCCTGCAGTAAAACATCGACATCCCCGTCTTTATGTCCCTCCTCTCATCTCTTCATGCCAAACTGCTCTTGCATACATTCGTCGACCATCCACGCCACCATAATTTATGACACACTGTCACTGCCATTTGGCCTGCTGCCAATTTAATTACCATAGAAGCTAACTATTAACAGCTAGCGCCCAGTGTCAAGTCACACATCACGTCACCGGTCAGGGGAGGGTGCATAAAGCTTCTTTTGGCAGTAACTCAAACTACATGAGAGATGATTATTTAATTCTGAAGTAGTTAAGCTAAATTACATTGATTGTTTATCTACAAATATGAGTAAAAAGAGATTATGTGTTAACCTGTGTTGTGTAACTTTATTCTAAATGTTTGGGGAAGTCATTATAGTTTATTCACTGAAAGTGTCAACTTCACTCCTTTTTGTTAATCTGTATGTATATTAAAAAGCATCAATTTAATCATTTTCTTTTTATCTTGTTTTATCCTTTCAATTTTTGCATGTTCTTAGAGTTTCAAAATAAAAGTCTGCCAACTGCCAACCGAGGTCAACTAAAAGTGCACTGTAAAAACATTGGAAATTTTTTACAGTGCAAACAAAGTACACGATGTGATTTTCTTGGCATGTTGAAGCTAAGCAGCAACCTTTGAAGAAGAAAAATGAAGCCAATGCAGATCTTTTTGCTACTTACTTTCTGTGCTCGAAATTCTAGTTACCTCTGCCAAGGTGGTCATGTTTTTTGGTAGCATTTGATGTGTCTCATTATTCTGTTTGTAAATACCATAGCCTGAAAAGTGTTGAATAAATTATGATGAAACTTTTTAGGGGTCTAGAGTAGGGTCATGTTAACAGTCCATTAAAATTTGGCTTAGATCCACTAACGTCTTCCAAAGCAATGATTTATTGGTCAAAAACAGACAAAAAGCCTTATAACCTAGCATAGCTAGCGTCTTAATAACTGTAGTGTGTATTATCAACATATGCTGTATAAAGATTCAAAATATCATATCACATTTGATCTCACTTGTGCGTTTTAAATCTGGCTTTCTTTCAAGTTGAATCCAAAATGCTTTATATCTTTAAAGAAAGTATTGTCAAAAGAAAGAGTCCCCAGTTAGTTAGAAATATATTTTAGAATAATATTTAATGAGCGCAAGTTATTCATGTTATCCATTACTACTCCTACAGAATGTCTGTGGAATCAAAGTAACAGTTTGTCACGCTCCTTTATCTGATTTTTACAGCACTGCACATTTTAAAGTATTTTTAAAAGCAACAAAATAAATTTACATAAATAAAATGCTGCTCCCATAAAAGTAAGTATTGCCTTGGCAGAGGTTTCTGCTTTCCGAGTTCTTCTTGTGTTTTATTAGTCTATTACTTCGACTGGCTGTGACTGTGAGTGTTTATGAAGAGAGCTTGCTAACCAAGCTGATAAATCCACACTCTACTCTTCCATCAAATATGGTAACATTTAGCTCCCAAAAATGGCTAATATTGAGGTTTTAACATGCGGATTACATAACCAGGGGGCATTTACATCCATCTTCCATACTGTGAGTAAATAAGAAGTAAAAGGTGTTGCTGTAGGACATATTTTGTTACTATATCATATTATAAACTGTAGTGGAGCCATCCGCTGCAGCCTCACTTTGACAAATAAGGGCACATCCAAAAGTATCTTCTTGCTCATTAAATGGACAATAAATTGAGTTGGTTTGCATGTATTGAATGTATATGTATGTAGATATTTAGATGTTTTTTTTAATAAATCAAACATAGAGCTAATAAGCAGATGTAGTGACACAGAAGACCTGATTAAAAAGAGAAAAAAACTCCAGAGACCAGTGTTACAATCATACAAATATATTAGTTTGTTTTATTCAATTATATCCAATAATATGTCTCCTTTGACTTTGGGTAAGTTATTATAGAAATAAATACAGATCATATAGCAAATGCAGAGAGAAGAGTTTGGGATAGTAGAAGTGTTGAAGAGGGGGAGGGTCAAGGGGTTAAAGGGTGTCAAAGAGTAAATATTGGGGAAGGACTGTTTCTTTGAAGGTGTCCAGTAAATGATTGGCGCATGCATGCTTGTAGTCAAGCCCGTCTGTGATCCTCCATCTCAGCCCACGAGTCTGAGTCTCCGAACTCCCAGGGCTCTCTGTAGTCCTTTTCAGCTCCTTCCTCCAAGCGATCCATGGGTTTGGATGGTGTTTCAATGTTGTGTTGTTCCACCTTGCCAGCAACAGGGGGAGTTACTGCACCCCAACCACATTTGCGTGTATATATTTATATAGAGAGATATATAGATATATTTTTTTGCCCCGTTTTGAATACAAAAATAGTGTCATTGTGGCTTTGATAGCTGGAAGACTGAAGCACTCTTTTTGCATTTGGAAGACAAGAATATGTCTAACATTAAAATAATGTTAAGATGATTTCCTTAAAATTCTTTCTGGAAGACTCACAATAAGTTGGATCGTCCATAAAAACCAACAGAACGAAAAAAAAACGAGTGACGGATTGATCAGAGAATAACACACAGACACAAGCACACACACACACATGTGAAATGTGTCCGTGTGCATGTTTGAAGGACAGATGACAGTGAAGGTCAGAGGTTGGTCAGTCAGGCGGTACGTGACAGACAGGTGGATTCTGGGGGATCGGAAGGAGAGGGTTTGAAACCCCACAATACTCATTCTTTACAGATCTAGCTTTTTAGTTCCACAACATGAGAGTAAAAGACACAGATATGTATTTAAACAGCAACAAAACCACATCAAATCAGCAAACACACATGAATGTGACTAACCGGGAGTTACATGGATCACATGTGACCTCACATCATATCGTTATAAATCACAGTAATTCCACCGAGAGTCACCCAAAGTACTTAGATTGACAAATGACACTTTAGAAAACAGGTAAAGAAACACTACAGAGTAAAGTCACCACTAAAGCGTGGGTGGTGCATTAGCTTGTAAGAGGTGAAGTCCTTCCATGATCTGCTTGTAAAGGTCACTCGATTTAGCCACATCTGCGCTGGCTATGCAGGGGGATGTGTGTGTGTGTGTGTGTGTGTGTGTGTGCAATGCAGATGTGTTCAGAGATCGTTGGGTGTGCCTTTAAAAAAAAGCAACAACAAATATGCAAAACTTTTATAGCTGAAGTTTCATTAATGCTTCTCAGGGTGTGACATTGAATACTCCAGCTCTCAAATTTAAAAGCTTTTTTTTTTCCATTAAAAAAAAAAAACACTCGAGGAAGGCGTCACTCTTTTGTCAGAGCACGTGAGTCTCTCTCTTCCTCCCTTTCTCTTTTTTTTGTGTTTTCTGCTGCATTGCAGATGTGGTGAGGGGACTCCACCTCGAAGTAATGCACGCACGCACGCACGCTTAAACAGCTCGGCTAGCTCACACACACACACACACAAGAGGGCAAAGTGTTAGAAAAATAAAAGCTCTAATAAAACACGCAGTTGTTTTCTCTATATCAATATTTCTCCCCTTTTTTCCACACCCTCCCAGATAATGTGGCTGCACCTTGTTAATAAGAGTTTATTGCTTTCTGCCCAAGGACTCATGCTTATTGATTTGGCCTCTTGATTTATTCTCTCTCACTCTCTGTACTTTATTCTCTCTCTGCTTGGATACACATAAAGGACACACAGAAATATTCAGTAACACCTACACAAACATTACATACGATTACCAGAATTGGCAGGTGGGATATCTGCACACACACACACACACACACACACATACTGCCTCCAGGTCAAAGGGAAGTCATATTAGCTGTATGCAAAAAAGGCTCGCCGAAAGGAAATGGAACTTCAAAGAGAGGCTTTGAGGCGCGAGGTAGCCACTCTACAGTATGTGACACATGCCTCTCTCTTTCTCTCTGAGTCCTTCACAACCCCAGATGACCCTCTCACTCTCACTGCAGTTGTAATTCGCTCAGTAAGCAGGGAGGGCCCTGACTCGGGAGAAACGGGAGGGAAGGGAGTCCCTGGGGAGAGAGGTGTGTGCGTATGTGAATGTCTGTGTGTGTGTGTGTGTGTGTGAAGGGTGCAGCTGCATCAGATAGACATCATTTAGCTCCCTTCGATATCTAGGCGCGAGCTGGCACACCTCTCCCATCCCTTTCATATATAAAGAAGCAGTGACGCCGAGCTCACCAAAGGGCCGATATTTAACGCTTAGAGCTGAATCCGGAGACATTCATCAGCCAGTTAAAAGCAGTAAATTCAGCCACGGGAGGGGAGTGGGGTGTCCACTAATCAAACATGTGCTCAGAGAGACGGCCGCCGAGAGAAATGGCAAACTTTACATCCTGTAATTTACGCAGAGTCGTTTGAAGTGAAGCCTGAAGGCTGAGAACGAACGGGCTGATTTCAGGCTTCACAAAAGACTCGCAGGACAGAGACAGAGGGAAAAGAAGGAGTGTAGGAACACAGCATAAAACACACACACACACACAAACCGGTGCACACACACGTGTGGCCGCACAAACCTTCCACCCGCTATAAATGATTTAGTAATTCTACTTTTCTGCCACCGCAAAAGTGAAATCAATAAGACTGCAAACAAAGCAACATCCTCTTTAAGATCTCCAACATAGCTTGAAATAGACTAAATAACAGATAAAACCTTCCAGGATTAATCTGATTAATTCTCAGTTGAGCTTAAAAAATCACAATAATGACGATGATATTATTAACTGGAAGTCTGAGTTGTTACTTAAAAAATATGGGCACTAACATCAGTAATCAGGTTGCACCTAGAATTTAAATAACAGTCAGATAAAAATCAAACGTGTCTACATATTTTACAGTGGGACACTCAGATGACTGATGCAGCTTTAAGCGGCTGATGGATCATTTCTAATGGCTTGCATTTAATTGCTGAATCGACACACACACATGCAAAACACACAGAAGTTTAGTTAGCTATGAATCCATCATTCACTAGATGTCAGTGTTGACTGACGTGGGGTCAGTGAAGTGACAAAGATGGACTGGTTTAACAAAAGCTTGGCTTTAAAGTCGCTGTATGACATGACATGAGGCATGACACAAAATGTTCACAGCCCTACACTTACTCCATAAAAATTTTATATTTTTTTCCTCATTTGCTCTCATGGAGCTTTTATTTTGAAAGTTAAAGGGCCCCTCCAGTGATTTTCTGTATTTCAGAGTCAGGAAAGGATTACAAATGGACTAAAAAAGATATTCTCACTCTTACGAGACAAGATCCAAACTAGCAGGACCCCACATTTCCCATATTGACACATCTCCACTTTCATTGCTTCTTTAGTTCTTTTTAGCTTTGTATTGAAGGTTTTCTGTCAAAAGACCACAAACCTAAAAATGTGGATCAAGACTTCATCACAGTCACTTTACCCTCAGAGGTGTGTTCAGACAGGACACGGGGCACCTTTTTGATGAGATGATGACTGGTTTAGCAAATGAAAACAGCTGTGGGCTAAAAAAAAAGCCACTTTTATAATCACCTTTATGAATGTAGCAATATCAACAGTATTCTAGGGGGGACCGCATAGTTCCTGGCAAGATGAGCTAATGGCTGAGCTCTCACATAAGCATAAAGAGATGCACTGGCTTGCTCTTAACTGGTATATGCTTTTTCTTGTTTGTAGAATAGTGCTTTATAGTTCGTTTTGTGAAATGCTTGAGAAAAGATTATTTCATTTTTCTTATCCACTGATTTGAGCTTGGAGCATTTTTTCTCTCTACATGGGATTAAATCTTGAAACTAGCAAACGAGACCGTCATGGAGTGAGGTTTTGGGTCATTCTCCCAAAGGCTTTTATAGAATCTGACTTTTTTGTGCAACCAGATAAGTCGCACCCTGCTGGCCATTAGAGAGAATGCAGGATTAAAGCACTCCTACACCGGCTTAACTTTGCACACACGAGCCAAGTTTGTCATTTATCATCGTAACACCAATGCCTTTGGTGGTGCTCTGTCTGAACACACTTTCAAACGTTTGTTTATCTATATGATAAAAATAATCTGTGCGAAATCAGTGCTCCTTAAACTCTTCCACAAGGATTATTTAAACTAAAACTTTAGCCCTTAACTTCCTTTTAAAACCCAAAAACAACGGTCATGAGACATACATAAAAAATATTGGAACACAGATTTCCCAGCCCTTAAAATACATAATATAGATGTTACAAAAGCTCTGTTTGTTGAGTAACTCCTCTCTCCATCTAAGAGAATCCAGTCTCAGACAGACTTGCTTCAGATCTGGGAGGAGGGAGCCTCTTTTAATTAAACACTAATTACTCTGCAAATAATAGTCAAACACTGTGTTCTGGATCGTGTGATCCAGGGAGGGTATCTGGTCAAACACATCAACCTGAATGTCTATTTAACAGTTTAATTAAGGTCTTCAGTGTGAAAGTGAGGTTTTAACAGTAGCTTAAGTACAATAAATTAAAAAAATATATTATTTTAAATCATATATGTATTGAATCACCTTCCTTTATATCCTTCATCCCCTCTTTTATTTATTTCCTCTCTCTCAGACCATTTCCTTTAAGTATTCACTGGATTACTCTTTCCTTCCTTCCTTTCTTCCTTCAGGAAAGCAGGGGTACAATTTGCTTCAATTCTCAGGTAGAAGATTACATTGCTCAGCACCCTCGCCTCCATCCTGATTGGGTTATCAGCTATTATTATTTACAACCACAGGTTGCATGGGGGCAGAGGATTACGCGCATAAGGAGAAGCGCTAGTAAATGTGTGTCTTCAGGCAAGAGTGTCCACATTAGCATAATTCCCTTTTAAATCTCTTTTTGTTGTGCTCATCATCATAATTATCCTCCCTAAAATTTTCTCTTCTTCTCTCGCTCATTTCCTTTGTTTCTCTCTCTCTCTCTGCCCTGATCATCAATCTCGCCTCGCCTTTACCTCCCGAACACAAAGGACTCCCTCGCTTCCCACAGTACATAAACATAAGGCAGAAACAATTACCCTGCCTGGCATATTGTAGCAAGTTTGATATGAAAAATGATTGCTTTTTGTGTTCAATGGAAACAACAAATGGAAATGCACCAAACAAGGTCTCCGGAAAGAAAGGAGTGAAATATTAAATATGCTAGTGATTTTCTTTACCAGGAGAGGCTAACAGATAAACACTGGCAAAAAGATGTGAGACGCTTAAGTTTCCTTTTTTCAGAGCCATCATTCTTGTACCATCATCTATGATCATACAACTTCACAATATATAAGCTCTAAATAATAACTGCAAGGACGTGACAAGTAAAGAAGGCTTGAATTCCTCTTTGCATCAAAATCAAACTCTCTGGGAGAGATTTACTATAAAACCAAACCCCCAAAAAACTGCTGAGTTCATTTCTAAAAATGTTAAAAATTACAGAAACAAATGATTCCCAGGCATTAGTTTCTTTAGTTAATGTTACAGTAATTTAACTGAGTACCCTACACTAATTTATGTATGAAGTATGGGAGCTTTATATGAAAAATCAGTGCAGAAGAAGCTGAAGAAATCCTGACTTTGGTTCCAGCAAAACACAACACTAGTTACTACATTTCCCATAATGCAATTTGGTGGCATAGTTCATTTAATTGTACTCTTTCAAAATACAATCTGCTTCCCAAACTGATATCTGGGAATACATGCAAATAAAGTCTCTGAAAATGTAACTTTTGAAACTCCCAAACTTATACCTGAAAACTACAAGTTTAAAAAAAAAATAAAATTTTTAAATCTTTAATCTAAAATCAAAGGTTTTTATTCAAAAAAGGATCGCCTTGGTATAAACTGAAGGTATATCAATCAACTAAATTTCATTTGACCATTAAAGTGAACCTTTTACATTGTACTTACGTGATTAAAAAAAAATAATAGATGGAAACTTACATTAAATCAAATTACTTAAAGTCAGCATTTTGGGCATTTTTTTTTTCTTTTTTTAGTGTTGCTGCCACATTGCTCAGGGGGAACTGAGCTTTTTCCACCAGAGCTGCTTTCCATAATGTCTTCTAACTTTATCTTTATCTTTAAGGAATAAACACGGTTTATTTGAACAATGCTACGCAGCTCGGAAATTTGGGGAAGTGTAATTCACATACGGATGCAAGATAACTCTTAGTGTATGACAAATTAGTGAAACAGAAAATGCAGACACTTTGAGACTACTTTACTCACAGCGCTGCGTAGCCAACTGTCATATATTATTTTCACATTTATCTTTAGTTTCAAGACAGCCACTTGACATTAAATCCGATTAAAAGGATTACTGATTGTGATATATCCAATGAAAGGTTGTTCTCTTAGTTTTAGCCTTTCACTGGAATATCAGTGTATGTGTGAATATTGACTATTTCACACAGAATTAGGTCAAAATCTCGAGTCAGATCCCCTGAACAGGATGGCAGAGTACGATGAAAAAATACATTTCTATGGCATTTCTATATATGTGTGTGTGTATTTGTGTGTATTTGTGTGTGTGCAGTGAAACAAAAGATGATTTGCACAGATACTGTGTGGCCCTTGAGGGTTTGTGCAATGCATGGCCGGCCACAGTGAAAACAGCTATTGCAGCACAATCACAAACCGCACAGCCAGGCTCCATTACCAACCCATTTCGCCGATGATATCCTCATCATCTCCCAGAACCTGCACACACACTCACCACTGTGTCGGCATGTTAGTGGGCGCAGTCACGAGCGTGCGTGTCACTTTGCTAAGTGCGTTAAGGTGTGAGATGGTTTTCAGCGGCCGATGCTCATGGACACCTGGGCTCTAAAGTGTGTGCGCGTGCTGCACACACCACAAACATGCATGTGTATAAATGAGTTTGGGTTATGCGGTTACGCAATGTGCCGGGGGAGCTTTTGACCCCTCGTTTAAGGGTCGAAAGATTCTGATCAGTCCCAGACTCCATTAACGGAGCCGCAGAGGAGGGAGGGGCTTTCTTGTGCCGCAGAGTGGAAAATTGAGTCCATGTCACGAACTAATAAAATCGTAGCAAAGGTGAATGGAAGACGGGAACACACACACGCACACACGCATATAGGACTGACACATATTCAGGCTATCTCACAAAGTTGCTGACGCACACGCTGAAGATGTGGAGTGAGCAGATGGCTTTAGAACCAAAGGGTCTGTGTGACAGCCTCACATTAGCATGACTCTGTGTCAAGCTAACCTTAGCATTAAACCCCATAGGGGAATAAAAACATAACCCAATTGTGGAGCATGTGCAGCAGAGGGACAGATTTACCCAGTGCACTCTTTGTGTTAAACCCAGGAAGACTTTGTTTGGATATTTGGTTGACTGGAAGGATCTCAGTGATGATGTCTAGAGGGTGTGGGGGGGGTTTTCCCTTCCAGCTGGTTGAACACGCTGTGGTGACATGCTGTACAATGTTAGGCCACTTTTCACCTCTTTGTGGAGTTATTGCTTTTAGATCCCAGGCTCTGCTAATCATAAAGGTCATTAAATAAGAACATGGAGGGCTGGTGTGAATGGGCTTCTGTAAAGGTAAAAGGGGCCTCCCACTGGCCAACTCCACTCTGCCTGGACTTGCTTCTGATTTTTACCCAGTTTGTCACCAGTGCATTATGGGATCAGTATTAGAGGCAGCATGTGGGGGGGAGGGTAGCCCTAACAAACTTGTTCAGGTGTCCGCTGGTGCCCATTGTCCACGTGTTGTCTACCCCTCCTCTCTCCTGTGTCTCTGAGCGCTAGGAGGAGGAGGTTTTGGTTTTGGATTGAGGATCTTTCTTGCCGTTCTGGAGCACAGGCGAATCACTGGAGGTCTTGGGCGTTTTTCTGGGCGGACTCTGTTCACCAACGTCATGTAGAGAGGGCTCCCTGTACATAGCCACTGGGGAGGGAGAAAGAAATTAGAAAGATTGGACACATAAATGCATACAGTATATTATATCATTATATCAGTCTCTGGCTCTCTTCCACAGCATGTCTTTTATCTTGTCTTCCTTCTCTCACCCCAACTGGTAATGGCAGATGGCCCCGCCCCTCCCTGAGCCTGGTTCTCTTAGCTTAACATCAAACATTTGGCGACAGTGGGAAGGAAAACCTCCCTTCTAACAGGAAGAAACCAGATCCAGGCTTAGGGAGTGGACATTATAACATAATAGAAAAGGAGCAATAGATCCTCTATTATTCATTTTTGCCACTTCTGCTGGTGTTTTTCCTTGTAGGTTGCACTGTTTTAGGTCAAAAGTTTATTTCTACAGCATAGCGCATTCAAAACAATCTCAGCTGACCACAGTGCTGTACAGGTTAACCAAAATATAGACTACACACAACAGTTAAAAAATCAGGAGTAAATAAACACTGAAAATCATCAAATAAAGCCTTAGTGGGCATGGGTTATAAACCCCACCATTGCTGAGTGTGCACTGATCCATGCTAACTATCTGCCGGTGCAGCACCTGTTGTGTGCCGGACAACGAGGAAATATCATGCACTATTAAATGGCTTTTGAAAAACGTTGTAGGTTTTTATTGTTGTTGTTATAAATTCTACTCATAAAGCATAAAAGAGAAGAAAGGGATGATAACAAGTTTCAGCGGCATGTTCTCTAATAAGTGATGATATGATCTCAGTACATGCATCTAACGTTCTGCACTAAAATTCATTTACAGAAAAGACATGATTCACATTTGTGACTCAGATTATCATGATATAGTAATTTCCTGACGTGCTGATGTGTTCAAACTTTTCAACAATGGATTGAGATCATGAGTAGACAGTGTTGGGGAGTAACGGAATACATGTACCGCCGTTACGTATTTAAAATACAAAATATGAGTAACTGTATTCCGTTACAGTT